GTCATGCGGCACAGCCTACCGGTACCAGGCGGCTGCTGCCAATGCTGAGCCATAGGAACCCGCTGGATAAAGAGTAGCGGACCATCAACCTGTACACGACTGTACCTACTAATAATCCCTCAAACCTGCCTCTTTCCCTCGGACATGCAGTCGGCCACCTGTAGTTAGCTGCTGGCCCGTCGCACCAGTCACAATACGCCGTGAAATGGTCACACCATATAAGACGGATGATTAACAGCAGCGTCACAATATCAGGCCCCAGATGTGTCTGTTGCGCTTGAAAGTGAGACATCTTACGGGGAAAGCAAGTCATATTGTAAGTCGTATTTGCTATGTTTGTTAGTCATATTTTATGACTGCACTCTAACCCTCGCCGGCACAGGCCATTTTGCGTCCTTCGACGGCACAAGGGCCCCCCCCCCCCTTGTACGACCCCCCCCCCTCGCGTTTGGCCCCTGATCGAGCTAGAGCTTTGCGGAAAAAAACGAGCTTGTTGCCCGTCACAAGAGGAAGCCGATGATACCCAATTTTAAGGTCCTAGGTCATCGGGTGACCTTCCAGGTCAGGTCAATGACCCGAAAACCGGGAAAATCGGGACCTGTTAGGAAGTCGTAAAGTGTGGCTGCCATGTGGTTTTCCGGGGTGCTGATCACGAATATCGTGTTAGTTTTGATCAGAGATGATATCTTTAAGCATTTAGACCAGGTCGGGTCAGGTCAGGTCAGGGCAACCGGTAGGGGTTGTAACGGGTATTCGTAATACGTGTCAACCGCCTCTGACAGCTTCGTAACATGTTACGTAGGCACCAAAACTACTTCGTAAATGTTCAAATGGTGGCTAAATTCGAATTCAGCTCCAAAAACTAGCCTAGAAACATGTAAAACTCGAAAAAGTGAACCGAGGTCACCCGAGGTCACCAAAGGTCACTGACCTGACCTGACCTTCAGGTGAACTTGACACCCACCCTAATGTATGGGAGCAACATCAAATCACATGTTTGAACGTTTGAAACCACGAAAAGCTTGCAAACGCGCGGCTAATGCGAGCCGACATACGCCGAATCGCGATTCGATAGGCGTTATCACTAGTGTATTCGCGGCCATTGGGGCGACGTAAGAAAAGAGGAAAACAACTGGCCCCAATAACTTTAAATTATCAGTTAGCATGCATCTTTTCCTTGATATGTAGATAATTTACCATTAATTGTTAGAGAAAATTGCATATAAAATCTTCCATTTATGCTTTTTTCATCGTTTGCATAATATGTTCTTTTACTAAGCTAGAAACACTAATTAGAAATAGTTCCCGCATCTCGTCAAGAACAATAGGAAAGGCTTGAAGTGAATAGAGTAATCTAAATGGTTTTGTAATCTATGTGAAGACACTTCTAAAATTGCCTGTAGAAATATTGAAGGCAAAAGTTCAACTTTTTCACAAGACGGATGTCTATAAACCTATTCAACGTGTGACAACTCAGCCGGTATTTCGTCGCCTACAGCCAAGCTTTCCCTAGTGACCGATAGAGGCGCTGCTATCGATGTCCGCCCGTGCCGCCTAACGTCCAGCCAAACATGGTTTCGGAAAAGAGGTCACAGGTCAAAGGTCATTTGGGTCAGGGTCATGAAATTTTCAGGGTAGGTGTAAAATTGATCAATGCGAGGGTACTGAAAGTTTCGTCGCGATCGGCCGCTTTTTACGCGAGTTATTCGCGAAAAACCTTAGGGGGGGTTGCATCAACCCCCCCCCCCCGGTGCCGGCGAGGGTTAAGCCATGCATGAATGTTTCCACCACCACGTAACGTGAATCTCAGTGCAGAATAGTTTTCTTTTGTCACTAGGACCCACGACCTACTCATAGTCGAAAGTTTTGGTCAGTTGAACCAAGTCAATGCTATTCCTTGGGTCCTAAGCCTGAGCAGATCGGCTGCCGAGCCCGATCCCCGCCTATCACCCGAGCAGGTCCTAGCGGCCCCAAGCGGCCCCGAGCGGCCCCGGGCGGCCCCGGGCGGGCGCCGCCGTCCAGTCGACCATATGGCCGGGCGAGGCTGTTTATACAGGCCGTATTTTTGCTCTGCTCTGCAGCTTAATGGACGGGTTGTCGAGGCCTGCGCTGAGACGAGGTTCAGCACAAATTAGGCACCGGTGCCGCCGCCGCCACGGGAGCCGAGTGGCAATATCTCGCCAGGTTATAGTCATTCGGAAAGAAATATAAGAATTTATCCCTCGTAAGTAATCACTGTATCTAGCACTACACTTGTGTTATTCGGTAAAGCGCGCACCGCTCACATTTCCCTCAAAGTTGCCTGCCCCGCTCGGACGCAGCCGGCTACCTGTAAGGTAGGCTGTCCCGCCGCACGCCAGGTGTGCTGCGGCGCAGCCTACCCGCCAGTGACGCTGCATCAACCGCCACGTAAAACAGCCGGCTGCCGGCCGGTGCGCTCTCAACGCAGGATGAGCCGCGGCGCTCCTTCGGGCTCTGTAAAGGCTGTTTCACTGATTTTTTTTTTGTTCGGCAAACCTAGCCGTGCATTTCCTCGGAATGAAATAAGACCTCGTCGTTCCAACCTTGTCGCTGGACTTCCTCGTGCCTACTTCCGGGTGGTGTTCTGTCGACAGTGCCAGCCGGCCCTGTCAGGACCCTCGCCGGGTCGCTCCCTTCCGCCGCTCGGGATCGGGCTGTCAGTTTCCCGCTGGCGCAGCGGCTGCCCCCTCCCGAGGCACGCTCCCTGGCACGTGGAGGACCCCGGGGAACGCCAGAAATGCACACCCCTCTCCCTCACTAATGGCTAGAATTTCACGGCAGGATAATCACGTGGACAAGAATCACGCTGTGTCCATCGAAAAAAGTGATTGGATAGTATTCTTACATGAACTGAATTTAAAGTTGTCACCTCGTTGGTGCTGCTTCTACATCATACACGTTATTTATCCTACGATTTTGAACATTATTTTTTTTTATCGTATTTCACTGGACTTGCAGATGTTGACACCGCCTCGGTAACGTTGTCGTGCCCCGTAACTGTTCAGTGTTCGTCTCTTTGTTTTATCTTTCTTTTGCGTCGTCTCTGGTATTGTTTATATGATATTTTCCAGCAGAACTTCAAAATGAAAATATTTGTGAAAAGCCAGCAGCCAGTGCGCAGGATCGGGAAGCCCCGGGTGGTGGTGAGACGTCCAGATCCCTGTCGATCACGGGGCGCCGGGGTTCCGCGGGGCCATGGCGATCGGCAGGGTCCCGGGGGCCCGGGGGCCCGGGGGTCCGGAGGGGGCCGGCGGCACCAGGCCGCGATGGTGGCACGTGCTCTGCGCCCCGCGGCGGCGGCGATCCGCCGTAAACAGCCGCTCGCTCGGACGGCGCCGCACACAAACTGTGTATTTGTGTTAGAGGCCGGGCGGCATGGAGCGACCGGTCCAGAAATCCAGTGTGAAAGTTACAGGTGTGGAAATAATCAGAGCAGACTGGTACCTGGTCGGGGCAGGTGTGACTGATCGACCGCGCATCTCAGGTCACCTGGCTGCTCCGAGGGTCACGCCTAATTACATCCTGGCGATCACTGATCAGTTCGGCATATATAAAGAGTCTTGATGTGATTTTTCTTTAATAGTTGATGAGTGGCTATTACCTAAACACTTAGGTAGGTATAAAGCCTTAGATAGAGCTAATAAATAGACAACAGAATTTCGATGAAGGGCACCAATACATTTTCCACCTAATTCTCTTTTATTAGTTGAACGGATGAGTGATGAAAGAATAACGATCGTGACTCAATGAATTTCATGCTCGTGAATCTGATCTCAGTATTCACTAATATACGGTTTGAAATTAGTCTAATGCGAAATAATGAAGACGTTTATGGTAAGTTATGCCCATGGATGAAATAATACTCATCCATGGTATGCCAATATGCAGGTATGTGATACCTCTGTAATGAATAAGAAACAGGAAAGTGATAGTACCTATTTATTTTCAAGCGATGTCACTTGACTCGAACTGGTATCCTTCATAGTTGATTTATGTCAAGAGCGTTAGTTTGAGTATTTTGAATTGGACAAATTAATTCGTATATGATGTAAGATAAAAACATCAAAACCACCCAACGTTTCGTGTTGTTCACTTTCATATCACCTTTGAAAAAGGAATTACACGAAACGTTGGGTGGTTTTGATGTTTCTATCTCACATCATATACGATTAAGTGTTAGTTTTGCTCCAGTGCAAAAAGGTTGCACGCTAAAGCTACATCCTTTCTTAAAAAAGGAAGGGTGATAGTCACGCCATGGGACAAAGGAAAGGGTCCTTAAAAAAATAATCAAGAAAACTTTTGTGGGCATTAAGATGACTAAAAACAATGCACGACACAGCTAAATGTGAATTTACACACAATACCATTCTGCTCTGTAAGATATTCAAGCCAAAGCTGTATCGAAAAGATTGAAAGAAATGTGGTAAGTGCCAAGTGGTATCATGAAATTAATGATACTGTGAGCTTTTTTTCGTGAAGCTGTGTCCCCCATCGCTTTCTGTAGTTAGGTATTTCGAGCCAGCCAACAGCGCTCCATGTAACCGGACGACATAACCCCGCTAGTTTGGTCAACATTTGACCCCGTCGGTATGCTCAGGTGAAATCTGTTTAGAAGTGTTGCATCCGAGAAAATACACAAGTCTTTTTGTGGACGCGCGGTCCCCCAAACAGTCGTTACAGGAGCCATCGGAGGCCCATTAACTAAACGGCCGCGTAAACGGGCGCGTTTCGGGCCGATCGGCGCCTTTGTTGGCCGTCGCGGCGGCCATTCCTCCCTGCGAGCTGGGCACCGATCGCTTTTTCTGGGCACAATGTGATCTTTGTACGGGTCCGTCGGCCGCCGCGCCGCCGCCGACTCGGCACCACCGCAACCCGCGGCGGCCTGTGCGCATGCGCCGGCGCCGGGGGCGTGGCCTGGCGGACAGTCGGGCCATCTATGACATGTCACAGGCTCCGAGCATTATCGCGCCCGTGAGCAGGGAGGACGCCGGCGTTTCCCGAAAGTCGGCTGGCGGTGGCGGTGGTGCGCGCGGTCCCGGCTAGTGCTCTCCCTCCTCTCAAGTGACTCCTCTGTTGGTCGGCTCCGGTGTCGCCGCGTCGTCCCTGCACTGGCGATTGCCGTAAACTATTTGGATTATTCTTTTTTACGGCCGTGACTGCTTATAAACCGATCCCGTCCAGGATAAATATTATTAAATTTCGGTAAACAAAACAGAGCAAGATGGACAGTGGCAAGTCGGAGACGCACGATGCCGCCGGGCCGATGGCGGCCGCCGAGCCGACCAAGCCGGTCTACATGGACTACAGCCGCGAGCTGCGGCCACCGGCCATCCAGATACCGACCATCATCGAGCACCGGCTGGGGGACGAGGCGGGCCAGCTCAGCTACCCGCAGTACCCGCACATCTACGGCCACCAGAGCGTGCCCGAGCCAGCCGACTACGGCACCCAGTCACCGGCGCCGACCGGGTACGGTACTCAGTCCCCGGCTCCAGCGGGATACGGCACCCAGTCACCGGCTCCGGCTGGTTACAGCACCCAGTCACCGGCTCAGGCTGGTTACGGCACCCAGTCACCCGCTCCAGCCGGGTACGGCCACCCAGCGCCGCCTGAGACCGACTACGGCGGCCAGTCTCCCGCTCCAGCGAGCTACGAGGCCGTGAAGCAGGCCGGCTACGACCTAGCTCCGCCTGACGGCTACGGCGACAGCTACGAGATGCGAGACGGTGAGTTCTCTCGGCCGGTGCAGGCGTGGCCGACCAGCGCCGACGGCGGCTTTCTGCATCCCCGCGCCGAGTTTGCCGCGCCGCCTCACTCTGGCGACGACCGCGGCGCGCTGCGGGACGACGGTACCGGTACCCAGCTGCGGTACGAGGCGGCGTACCGCTCTGACAGCCGGTACCTGCGACAGAGCTCGCCGGCCGGCGCCGTACCCTCTCCACCCCCGCTGCAGGCCACCAAGTTCGACACCGAGGCGGCCGACCCCGTCCCGAAACAATATGACACCGACGGCGCTCTCACCGTGCACAAGTACGACCCGGATGGGATGCACAAGAGTTATGAGGCGGATGGAATGCCGATGGGTAAACCATACGACACCGATGGAATGCACAAGGGCTACGACACGGACGGAATCCACAAGGCGTACAGCGGCGACAGTATGAGCAAACCGTACGACACGGATGGCCTTCCTGTGCACGACAGTTACGACGGAGACGTGATGCACAAGCCGTACGACACCGATCGGCTTCCTGTGCACAAAGCGTACGACACAGACGGCAACCTGCCCATTCACAAACCGTACGACGAGCCGGGTAAGTTTGATGCCATGGGAAAGCTCTACGAACAATCTCCGGTAGAGGGGGAGAAGGAAGGCTTCCCCTACTCGCCGAGCTCGCTAAAACAGACCACCATAAAGATGGAGAGTCTGGCCACGTACGACACTAACGGGATGCCGTGCTCAGAAGAGTCCGATAAACCACCGGAAGGGGAGGCGACACAGGAAGGGATGGCGGCCGCAGGAGCCACCGGAGCCAGCTCAGGAGGATCTGCAGCAGGAGCCGCCTCAGGAGCAGCCGCCGGCTCAGGATCAGGCACCGAGCAGGAGCAGACCGGGACGGAGAAGCCGACCAAGCGCGGAGCACCGGGCGTGCGCCGCCAGGAGAAACCTCCTTTCTCTTACATCGCGCTCATCCACATGGCCATTCAGAACTCGCCTACCAAACGCCTGACTCTGAGCGAGATCTACCGCTTCCTGCAGGAGCGCTTCGCCTTCTTCAAAGGCAGCTACCAGGGCTGGAAGAACTCGGTGCGACATAACCTCAGCCTGAACGAGTGCTTCATCAAGCTGCCCAAGGGCCTGGGCCGGCCGGGAAAGGGGCACTACTGGACGCTCGACCCGTCCGCCGAGTACATGTTCGAGGAGGGCAGCTCTCGGCGCCGGCCGCGCGGCTTCCGGCGCAAGTGTCGACACTCGCCGCTGAAGCCGTTCGGTTACTTCCCGGCCGGCGGCGCCATCTCCAGCACTGGCTACGACGCGGCGCAGGGCCTGCCGTCGGCGCAGCCGCCCACCTACAGCGGCAGCTACAGCGGCGACTACAGCCAGCTCAGCCCGACAGCGTGCACGTACGGCCAGTCGCAGGCCGCCGGCAGCTACAGCCCGCTGATCGGCCTGGCCGGCTCCTACATGGCCGGGCCGGCCGGGGCCGCCGCCGGGCCCGCCGGGTACGACTACGGCCTACAGCCGTCTGCCGGCTACGGGGCGGGCTACGGCGACAAGGAAGCGGCCTGGTCGGGCCTCAGTGGGGTCACCGGTTCACCGCTGACCGGCTGTCTGCGGCCGCCGCACAGCCCGACGCCGGCTGAACAAGGTGGGTCACAGGTCATCACGGGCCGAGTCGGGGAAGCTGGGGGTAAATGGGCTGATCAAGAGTCATCGGACCTTGGTTGTGGCTCAATCCGTGTACGATTATATGATCCGATCCTTGCCGAATCACGAGGTCAAGCTGATCTATCTGTAGATCAACAGACGTTGCTGCCTTGTTTACACAGGTAGACAAAACAGCAGCTCAAAAGATTTTGTAACACATTTGTAGATTTGGAGCAGACCAAATGTATGCTACGGTTCGTCTAAAGCTTGTCGTATTCAGTTGTCGCTCATCTCATCAATTATAATTTTACATGAGGAAATATGCGAATCTTATTTCAAGAAGTACAAGTTTTTACCTAGATTTTGCACGATGCACATGCTGTTTTACCATACTCAATACGTTTGATTTAGCTAAACGAGAAGATGCAAGCATACGAAACGGATTTATTTTGTCAATACCGGAGCATCAGTAAAATCAGCATGACGAATGAATACCCTAAATTAGATAAAATCCGGATGTGATCATTTTGGCAAAACGTCATCCACGGTTCTTTTTAGTACATTTATTATAGCAGTTGAAACGTCAGGTGTAGTAAAGCGCGTTCTGGAAAAAAATGTTATATTACAATGGCTGACAAAAATAAGTGCCTATATTTGCACGGTGCACATTCTGTTTTACTATACACAAAAATCAAACAGATTAATCTAATGTCCATTTGCCACCGACCGCACGACATGCTTCTGAAGCTTCGACTATGGCTGTGTTTGGCTTTGCATACCGCGCACCGTAAACATTTGCCCTAAAAAGCGTCCTTCATTGTTTGTTTATCATTTGCAGTTGATAGTCTTAGTATCATTTAAGCGAGTCGTATGCTTTTGAATACCTTGTCACTGTAGTGTTCATGCACGGAACAATGCCGTTCATTTTTTACTTACCTTTCCCAAAAAGTAATTCAATTTAAAAGGTTAAGCCCAACGAGAAGATAAAAGGTTACGAAACGGATTAATGTTTACATCTCTTCTAAAAATGAGCATTTTTATTAGAAATAAAAGCGCTACCTTATATAAACATACACATTACACTATTACACAGGCATACGTGTTAGCAGCATTCTCTCAGCATCCTTTATCACGTAAGGATGTTGTTTTTTAATGAGCTGTTATTAGCATTTAGTACAGGAATGCCAGGATTTGCATATTGTAGCAATTGGCGATGATACTTTGGTGATGCTGTTCGTGTCTACATCTCATTCGGCTCCATCGTTCATCGCTAAAAGCCTGATTAGATAGGAAAGGAGTCACCCCATCACGTTTGACACAACTAATGGTGAATAGCTTTGGAGTTGCAAACAAAGCAGTACCTAACTAGATGCGCCTATAGAAGTTTAATTCGTTTAGACGTTGTCCTTAGGTCAGGGAATGGTGTTCAGCTATGCTTATCCAGAAACATGTTCCGAATGTTTATTGTTCAGTTCAGTTCAGTTCAGTTCAGTATATTTTGGTAACCAAGAACAAGAAACATCGGAGAAAATAATCGCGGATCGGCGCAAAAGCAAAATGCTTAGGTAAATCAAAGCGCCTTTCCTACAAAACATAAACACAAATAAGCTTCAACTATGTACCAAAAATGTTTCAAACATGATCAGACTGACAGCAAGAATCTTGCGCTGGACGAATGTAGTTTTCGGATTTTTTCTTAAGGTATATTGGGTATATATTAGAGATGTCAATCGGATACCAACTTTTTGGTATACCGATACCCAACCGATACCAACTTGGTATTTGGTATTTCAATCGTAATGTGTTTGGTATTTTGTTGGTATCATAAACCCTCACTAATGTATAAGAGGCTATGGAATCGGTAACAAGTTGGTATTTCCCGCATTTTCCCAAGTTGGTTTGGTTTCGGTATTTTCCCGTGGTTTTGGTTGGTATTTGGTTTGGTATCGGTATTCCGATTTTCCGTAATTGACATCACTAGTATATATGCACTGTGAAAAATGCGATTATTCCTGAGCAGCGGGCGGTCCTAGATTCCACTTTTTGGGAGTCCTTTGAGATCTCACGGCAATGTGAACATGCAGGCTGGGTGGCACTTGGTACTTTCCGCTTAGTTGGGACAATTTTGTAAGCTCCCAACACAATATTACCGCGAACAGAGCATATAATTGATTCGCACGCAAGGTAGAACTTCTGTTACACAGTAAACCCAGGTAGATATCTAAAATACGGTCCTTTGAAATTAATGCATACCGTTTGTTTGATGAAGTAACAAGAACCAGTAAAACGCCTTTTGGGCGAAGAACGAGCGAGCGAGATAGTGAGCCCTGCTCGTGCGGAAGGGCGAGAGGGTACTTCCAACGGGCTTGTGCAAAGCACCCTTCTAACCGGTCGCTAGCAGTGTGCCAAATTTGACCGCAATCGGCCCAGCCGCTTCTGAGATCTGGAAGCGGCATTCTGCACGTGCGCACGTGCAAACGGGGTCCAAACTGACTTTTGCACCCTACTAACCGGTCCCCAACTGAGTACCAAATTTGAGCGCAATCGTGCCGGTCGATCGAGCCGAGCGGACGTGCGCCAATTTTGTCTCGCGAAGACTTGGGTGTGGTCGGTGTGGTGATTTAGTGGTAGGCCGAGGATATTATAGGATTAAAATGGTTTTTTTTTGTCTCAAGGCTATTAGAATTGTTAACGTAACCTTTGACTAGAGTTTAGACTTCTCACTTTCAAACCATTACTTGTTTGCAGTTCAGCATAAAGTAAAGTAGCATCTGCGCATAGATGTGCCATGGAGGAAGGGGATGTTAAGAGACTTATTCAGGAAGCTGTTAAGGAGGTGACTAGTGAGATGGAGGGAGAGATGAAAAAAAAATATGGGAGGAAAACAAAAAAGTGAAAGAGGAGATACAAAAACTGAAGGATGAAAACCAGACACTGAAAAAGACCCTAGCAGAACTTGACCAGGCCTTAGATGATGTGGAACAGTACAGCCGCAAGGATTCCCTGATCTTGGGAGGTGGAGGCTTTCCGCAAGCCAAAGCTGACCACTATGAGACTCCTTCTGAGACTCGTCAGCTGACCAAAGCCGTGATCGAGGAAAAACTAGGAGTAAAGCTGAAGGGACAGATATCTGCTTGCCATCGCTTAAAAAACAACAAACGTGTCATCATAAAATTCCAGGATCTGGATGACCGCAATGCGGTTTACGAATCCAAATTCAGTCAAACACAGACAGCACAGGCAAGGATCACCATCCATGAAAACCTGACAGCCAAAAGATCAAAGCAGATCCAGCAGCTGGGTGACATGTGGGAGGCTGGCCAAATCTGCAACTATCATACCAAGAACGGCGCCATCATGGCACGCAAAACCAGAGACCAGAGATACATCCCCATCCGAGCCAACATGACCAAGGACGAAATCATCCAAGCTGTGGAACAGGCCCCAAAAAGAAACAACACCCCACAGTCATCCAACCAAAACTTCCTTCGCTCCCAGACCCTGAACAACATCCCATCAGGACGCGTTGCTGAGCAGAGGGCTGACCTTGAGGAGTTTGTGGTCACTCGGAACAGGAGAGGTGGCAGGGGTGGGCGTGGTGGACCTGGACAGAGGGGCTCTGTTTAAACCACTGATGGTCTTTGAAGGACTGGCACTGATTGAAAAAATATCTTAGTTAACTAGCCAGCACTTGTGCTATCACTACATCTGCTCAATGTCACTTGACAGGGAATCTCTTTCAGCTGTGCCAAACCTATTCGCAACTTTGGTAAACATCATTGGAGGAAGAACTTTGGCTTAGCATATAAACAAACAATGCAATGGTTTTTCATAAATGTCCCTGGACATGCTCCCGCTCACACTGCCAGTGTGCTATTGGTGTGGCGTGGGAACATGTGAGTGAGTGTGAGTGTGAATGAGTGAGTGAGGCTGCACGTCTGCCTCATGCAGTTAGTGCAAACAAGCCCAAACTCTACAACATAGAGCTTTTAACACAGAGCATCAGGGACATGTAAATAAATTTGAGTGCAACCACTCCTGAGCACATTGAAAATTATGGAGTTTCCACAGCAAAGACTTGCTATGGCAAAAAAAAAACAAAGTTCTGCCAAGGAGCAGACTGAGACCTGATGAACAGGCTGAAGGACATTCCAGTTATTACCCTCCAATGTTGGTTTATCTTAGTGGCAACTGAATAAATATGTTGAGACTAACACTACAATGTTGCTCAACAGTAAGCACAGAGCAATTCACCTGACTGAGCAATACAAGTTTTAGCTGAGTGCTGGTATAAAAGAGTATTGTAAATATTTCTAGAAGCATATAGTTTTGCTTTTGAAATAGCTTTTCCTTCTATGATCATTCAGGTGAAATTGATGAGCTATGCCGGGGACCTGCCTGCTTCTCTTACATCAGGATGTTCTTTAAAAAATTAACCCTCGCACGACCAGGCCATTTCTCATAACACGAACGACCAGGGGGGGGGGGTTGTTACGACCCCCCCTGGCGTTTCGAAACGGAAGGTCGTAGAGCTTAGCGGAAAAGACCAACGGATTGCTCTCAACGAGATCTCGCGATTGGTGGTATATTTTTTGGTCCTAGGTCAACATTTGACCTACTTATGACCGGTCAAAGGTCAAATTTTCGGAAAAATCTAACTTTTTCAGCTTTCCGCGCCGATTGCGGCAAAACGGTAAGAGATATCGACTTGAAACCTTCACTATCGTGATCCTTGATCAATTCTCTATCGTTTGGTGCGTATTTCGATGTCATAACTCTAAAAATGATGCGTTGGGAGCATCGGAAGTCTGCAAGGTCATTTGTGCATTGGGTCACGTCAGGCGTGTGACGTCACTGACCTGACCCTGACCCAAAATGAACTACAAGAAACAACCGACGATGCCTGAAATGGATAGCAAATTCGAATTCAGGGCATCAAAATACCCCGAAAAGGCATACAAGTGCAAGAAGTCATTACAGGTCAACCGAGGTCACTGACCT